AAGACAATCGAGGAATCATGAACACATTGCCATGCTCTGATCCATGTCATCTCGGCCTAGCGAAGATGAACATGGTATAGTCTTAGGTTAAGATCTGCCATGAGAATGCAGACTGTTGATGTGTAGGAAAGTCCTTGCTGCAGATCATCCACAGACAGACGTCTCATGGGACTCGGCTACTGAAATCTGCACTCTGGTGACGTGTAAAGGGCTGCGCATGGTGCGTGTGCGACCTGAAGTGGTCATGTTTTAAAGAACTTTTTAGTTCTGATTCGCTATAGATCCAACTTCTCTACTCATGACGCCAAAGGTCTTGAGGGCACCTAAGCATTCTCTTCATAACATGCGCTGAACTTGCGGAATGTCAGAGATGGTGAGTTTGTGGAGAGGTAATGTTCAAAACAAAAAGCTCTCTGCTTTTTACTAAACGTAACCATGATCTAAGCAGGCTAAAGAAATTTGGGAAAAATAATATCTGCAGACTTCTGTTGACTTGTTAGACTGCTGTAGCTTGCAATATGGTGCGATTGTTGCAACTTTTAGTGGTAGGCCTAATGCAAACTCGTGCGTCATGCTATGAAAATGGCGACAAGGTTTAAAATGGGTTGTTTTTTAATGCACTATATAGAGCAAAAGCATTCAATGGACTTATTTAAAATACATATTAGACAAATTCCTTTTGGCTTCCAAACGTTATGTTAAAATCTGAAACGCAAAACTTCAGTATGGAGGAAGATATTGAAACAACAAGTTGTAAAGTGTTGTTTTTTTTTTGGATCATCTGTATATGCTTATATGAACGGCTAAAACAGCACCTGGACATGAATGGCTGGTGCCTCTATAAATAAATCATTGGTGGTCTGTATATGAACATAGTATTTGCGCCTTTACACTGCCATCCGCGTACCGTCTCAGGTGTACGGTCCTTGTTTAACTACTATAAATTTACCCCGTTGTACCGCCAGCGAACTGGCCGTCAGAAGTACACAGTGCACACTAGGCTACACACGGTGAACGAACAAACAAATATACAAACAAACAGACAAACAAACAAAAAAAGTCCCTGTCAGAAGCATAGATGTAGTACAGAAGATTGCTGACTTCTGTGGACTGGAGAATCCCCAAATGGTGCAAAAACAGGGCAGTTGAGTACATTCGATGGCGGTAGGCCTGTAGTGGATTGTGGTGCAGTACTGTTATACCGGTACTGTACTGTTGATGCCTTCTATCGTAGTGCTTTTCTAAGCATTCTCAAAAGGACGAATGTAAGCGGTAAGGTTCATCGTAAAAATGATAGATTATTTTTATTATGCTTCGATTTTGGGATCATATACGATACATTCGAAACATTTTCAAAATGGCGAATACCTTGTATAGGGTTCATCTTAATAAAAGTAATCGTTCCTTTTTAATGTTTCCATTCTGGGTTGTAATACATGTGCATTGTTTTCAAAGCTTTTTCAAAATGACGAATGTTAGTTTCATGTAAAAGTGATCGTTTCTTTTCTAACAGATCATTCACTTCAGCTTTGGATTATGACACCCTTTGATCGATGTAAATACATGAAACCTTTTTTCTGTTTTGTTCTTTAACTAAATAAAGACACCCCTTCCCATAAAAGGCCCACTTTTGAAAGTCTTATGTCTATAAAAATATTCTCGAAAGTATCCATGGCAGATGAGTAGCAAAATCTGTTATCTTTTTTAGAGGAACCCCTAAACCATAATTAGATGGTCTGAAAAAGTTACGACTTTAATTCAGACTGGGCTCGTTTGCTTCAGGGGAAGAAACAAAGCTCTGATGGTATGCCTGAACTTTGAACTCAATTTGATGTACAGCAGAATGTTTATAGCGAAGCTGACACCTTCGAAGATGTGGATAAAAGATATACAGACAGTAAATAGGTTGTGGTAAGCTTTACCCGTGTTGAACTCCTCTACTAATTCCATGATAAGAAAAATGGCGCCGTGGGGCACGAAGCAAGTGATGAACACTGCAGCGATGAGCAATATCATTTTGGCTACCTGCATGTCTTTGTTCTGTGTCGGCATGCTTCTTGATGATCGGGCGGCGCCGGTTTGCAGCGTGTAAACATTTTTGGAACACTCCCACTTTTGGCGACGCTGAATAAGTGCGTGAATCAAGACAGCTGAGAACACGGAGACGCAGAGGAAAGAACCTGTCGTGACAACGAAACCCGCTACCGTAACAACGGGTTTGATGGTATTTTCTTTGTCGTTGTAAACCGTTCCGATCAGCGTCTTGTTCTTCTCAGGATCGAAGATAGGAGCGAGGTCGATGTAGGCAAAAGCTGGGAGTGCGGACAGTAGCATAAGGAAGAATATAGCAGCAAGGCAGATGGCTGTTCTTTTCGGGGTGAATATTCTGTGAACACGCAGGGGTGTTTTGATACACAGACAACGCTCCAGGGTCACGAAGGCAGTGATCCCGCCAGATGTTCTGTTGAAGAGGAGAATGAAATTGATAGATAAAACAACACGCGCACATATACAGACACACTCTCTCTCTCTCACACACACATATATACTAACGCGCACACACACACACACACACACACA